AAAACCAGATGGGGTCTGAACTCCATGGGTAAGTCTATGTTTAAGATTAAAATATTGACATATCTGTTCACGACTTTTATGAAGCTTTTCTTCTAATGGTCCCGAATAGATTTTTTATGTACTCTGTTCATCAAGGTACAGATTTTAAATACCTTTAGATTGAAGAAAAAAAAAGGATTTTGTCTAAAAGCAAAACTGAAACACAATAATATCACGTACGTTTCACTCATTAGAACGTACACAATAATTATATTCGTGTTTCGTAACCTTCTATAAAGTATCAAACTGTTTTCATTTCCTTCTCAAGGTTTCACTTGAGATCAGTGTTCTCCAGGCGGTGATAGTTCCGAGCATGCCCTACCTGCTCGCTTCGCGACAATGACCTAACTACAGCTTCACGTAGTTTTCAGGCGAACTTCTGACATGACTAAACTTCCACGTACAACGTGACGTGTTTACCTACATTTAATCCTCACTCACCCCCTCTCCATCATAATGTACCATTCCCAATAGCAATCCTTTTTTTTTCTGAAGGATTACTTCGCCAAACTATACTGCTACAGATATTTTTATACGTATGACCTGAATGTAGATACAAATAGAAAAACGAGGTTTCTTTCAATGTCCTGTTTCGCAAGTAAACAAAACAAAAATCAGGATATCTTAACGAAAAGAGAAAAAGAACAGTATCCACCAAAGAACAGCAACATTAAAATGATAAATACAAAAATAACGAACATGCGTTAAACCTACGAGAAGCATTTGAAAAAGTAATAAAAAAAATCGAAGTAAGGACAGAGAAATACGTTCGACATTACGGCGAACTTTACCACATGGTGATAAATGGTTAAAAAAAACTTGTATTTCTCTAACAAAGTAACATCAAAATCAGTTAATTGGTAGAATGGTAAATGTGTATCGAGGACTTGGTGTTGTTAATCTTAGGCTTTCGAAGAAACAGAACGTTACAGGCCTGAAGTAACGTGTTCCAACAACTGTGAGTGTTATATGTCAACTTAAATAACTTTTACATTTTAGCTAGTAGCTATTGGTCCTAGAAACGGCGAAAAGAAAAAAAAAGTTATACTACTATTTCTGGGACATATTAAAATGTCAGTATTGTTTCAATAAAATGATATTTTATATATACACGATAATACTGTGAATATTTTAAAAGTTTATCGAAGCTGTTGAAATTGATATCTTTACAAAGAGTGCTACATCGTCAATTTTGTATAGTCATAATCGCTACATAGCTTTGTTTCTTTATCTGTTGAATTTTTCTCAGCACTAACCACCGCCAACTCCTGGGCTACACTAATCGAATAACGGTATTGACAGTAACATTATAACGCCCCACGGCTGAAAGGGCGAGCACGTTCGATGATGGGGTTCGAACCCGCGGCCTCCAACTTTCGAGTCGAGCACTCTAACCGCCAGGTCAAGTCAGGTCGTCGCTAGGTGGCTTCAACAGAATATATCTAGTAGAGGAAATATCTTTGGTCGGACGGGGAGGGGTCGTTTTCAAATATTCGTGCAAAGCTACGCTTGTCTGACCGTATAGTGAAATTTAACTGTCACCTTTAGAAAGCAATCACGACTCTAAAGTACGGGGCGTTATGTATTTCTGCGATAACGGGACGCAAACAATGGACCACTCCCAGCCCACGATCGACGGGAGGGTGATCGACTTAAACTCATGTGAGGCAAGAAACAAGGTTTAGACTAATTTCTCTATGAAATGTTTTAATTACCAAACTTTGACTGAAATAATAATTTCTGGTAAGATTGATACACAAAATATGAAAAATTTTCTGGTTCTTATTTCACGGGATGACTTGGCCCCTCTTTTTTTTTAGAATGTGAAAATGAAAACCAATAAGACAAAACGAAATTAAAAGTTTCTAAAAAATGTAGAAAGAAGTGTTGTTGCTTTAATGTATCTCACGTTAGGAATTGGGGTACGATACCCACGGTTGACACAACACAAGTAGCCCATCTGTAATTTTCACCTTAACAACGGACAACTAAATAACCGCGAGAAAATGTTTTTCGATTTAAGTAATTCTCATAGTTAACAACATTAAATTTGATAAACCAAGGTGTTTGGAGTCTGGAGAGATGCGGTTGGCAAATTCCGATTCAAAATGTTCTATACCAGACTTATGAAGAGATAAGTAAATGTGTTTCGTTTTAGCAACGAACTTGGTGAATCAAGTATTTTATAACAAATAAATAAACGATTTATTAACGATGTGAGAAAAACAACAACATTTTTGTGTGTGAATATAAACCAAAATACGCGATGACAAATTACTACGTTCAATCTTGAAAAATGCACTCACTTAAACCTTATTTAACTATCACAACCAATAAGAAACAATTACGGGCACCGACAGAAATACTTTCGGGGGGAGGGACAACATGTATGTAGGGGATAAGCTTTTACAGTGTAAGTCAACAGACTAAAATAATGTGTGTTATGTGTGCTTAAAAGCCAAAACAAATTTACTGTTCAAATAAAAATTAATATTTTTTTTAACTACGATGTCAAGTTTACACCATAATAAGTGCAGTTTTTTGTGAAATGTAAGGGGGCAAATATCACCTCTTGCCCCTTTCTGCGGGTGCCCATGGAAACACTCGTTGAAATCTTATTTAGCTATCACAGCCAATAAGAGACACTCAGTTAAACTTTATTTCGCTATCACAGCCAATAAGAGATACTCAATTAAACCTTATTTACCTACCACAGCCAATAAGAGAGTAGTTTTCAATTCGTACAAGTTTCTTTTTCTTTCACGTGCAGTTAAACGTCATAGAAAGAGATGTTTTTTTTAAAGAAAGAGTAGAAACTTAAGTAACTAACGTTACCGTTCAATCATTAAAGTTGGCTACCTTTTTTTATGTATGCGTCTATTTGTACCCTACAGTTTCCGTATTGAAATAAGAATCTTTAAGTGTTAGAAAACTAACCCACTCTCAAAAGAAGAATCTTCGTTATTTTTTTTAAAACAATCTCTGCCATTTTATTTTTACAACACCTGGTGATAATTCTCGAACTAAGTTTCTTAACCTTACTATTAATAACATTTAGCTGTTTATTTATTTATATACAAACACACAGATAGGTGGTATTCAACGCTTAAATACCTTATTAATGTCGGCACAAGAAATAAACAAAGTTATTGGTTTTAAACATAATTCTTTACCTCAAGTTCTTACTGTTATAGGATAAACACATGTTAATTTCCTTACATCTAACGTACAACAAAGTTTAATGATGCTAACATCATTACATCTAATGTACAACATAGTTTAGTGAGTCTGACATTGTTACACCTAATGTACAACAAAGATTAATGGTGTTAACATCATGACATCTAACGTACAACAAAGCTTAATGATGCTAACATCATTACATCTAATGTACAACAAAGTTCATTAGTCTAACATCATTACATCTAATGTACAACATAGTTAATGAGTCTAACATCGTTACACCTAATGAACAATAAAGCTTAATGATGCTAACATCTTTACATCTAATTTACAACATAGTTTAGTGAGTCTGACATCGTTGCACCTAATGTACAACAAAGCTTAATGGTGTTAACATCATGACATTTAACGTACAACAAAATTTAATGATGCTAACATCTTTACATCTAATTTACAACACAATTTAGTGAGTTTGACATCGTTACACTTAATGTACAGCAAAGCTTAATGATGCTAACATCATGATGGCTAATGTAAACCGTATTCCTATTGTTTACTAGTATATTACCGCCGTGTTCCCAATGTTTACCAATATACTGCCACTGTGTTCCCGATGTTTACCTGTATATTGACATTACATTAGTATATTGCCACCGTGATCCTAATGTGTATTTACATATTGCCACCGTATTCCTATTGTTTACTAGTATATTACCGCCGTGTTCCCAATGTTTACTAGTATATTGTCACCGTGATCCCAATGTTTACCTGTATATTGACAGGCAATATACTGGTAGACAACTGAAACAGCATAGTAATATGTGTGTAAATTCTACGTGCCTCGAGGAATTGCTAGTATTTTTTAAGCTAATGATGGTCCTGTAATCTGGGTACTTTGATATCAAGTGTGGATTAAATTTGTTTGTACTCAAATGTTCTGAATACCTACTTCTTAGTGACTCTCCAAAAAACAAAAAAAAATGATTGAGAATTACTCATACTCGCTAGTGGCTCAGCAGCAAGCTTGTGGGCTTATAACGCTAAAATCGGGTTTCGATATCAGTGATGGGCACAGCATAAATAGCCCATTTTGTAGTTTTGCGCTTAACTACGAACAAACAGTATACAGGTGGACATTGGGAACAGGTGACAAAAGAGATATAACAGAGATGATTAGTATGTCCTTGTGTCACAGAAGAAACAGGAATATAATACTTAGCTCAGCCAAGAACTTAAGAGTATTTAGAAAAAGCATGAAAAAGATAAAAAAAAAAGCCCAGACATGTACGTAAAAAACTTTAATTACCAGCAGTCAAAACTAAAATAACAGACTGGTGAAAAGGGACAGTATATTTACATTTAGACTGGTTGTCGTTAATTAAACAAACATGTCTGTTAAAATGATTCAAAGACCAGCTTGACACATACCACTTTAAACTTGGAAGTGCTATATTTTCACATAGTGGAACAAAGAAGGCAGTGAAAGTTAGGAAAAACCATTTTTCAAGTGGAAATTGGTTTTCATTATTGAACCACAAATAAATTTAGATCTGTCTGATGCCATAGACACATATGATCGCTACAGTGGTATTTTTGTCATCGTCATCTGCCGTTGTTTTGCCTATAAATTAAAATTAGTGGAACCAGCTTACAACTTTTTTATGAGAGTTAAAACAATCAAGATGCATTCAAGAGTTATAATGTTACACTATTTTCTGCAGGTTTCGTCAGTTAAGTATGTAAATTGTCTATCCTGAAGTACTTTGACTAAACCTTACCTCGTCCGTAACCTTGGGTATGTTTCGCAAAGCTATTGACGACTGCATCAACAGCTTCTTTTAGTATCATCTTCGCACGTGCGTCTGAAACTGAGCCCGTTGTGTTAGTTTTTCTTGCCGGGGGCACCGGCGGAGCTTTCGACTTCGAAAGTGCGTGAGATGCAGAAGATCGCTGCATTCTGCGTATCATCAAAACTTTGACAGGGATTTTCAGAAAATAGACAATCTAAATGATTTACGGTATTTCTTAAACTCTCGTGAATTCTTAATGTTTACAGCATGTAAACAGTTTTTTTTTTTTAAATGTAGGTGAACTTTTAATTCAACGTCATAAAATTACTTCTCATCGAAGCGACCACCTGTTAGTGTTAATATCGACGAGTCCTTTCCTGCTGATGTGAGACTCTAGGAGTCTACGCAACACAAACAATCCCAAAGAAGGAAACACTTAACATGAGTGACAAAGCGTGAAATATAACTAGTGGACTACGGCTTCTGGCATGCACAGTTAGTGAAAGATTGTCACACTCCACTACACACAACAATATCTGTACACACAAGGAATTTCAACAGGTTAAGACAACAGGTGGCGCTCTTCCTAGAAGACTGCTAGCGAGGGTTTTGCGAAGTATGGATAAAAAATAGTAAAAACGTTCTACTATTTGATGAGTTATGTTTCCCACTTTGTACTGAGATCCAATAAATATTTGTATTAGTAATGGTTATTGGGATCTTGCCAAAAATGTTGATGAACATGTGGTACATAATTAATTATCAAGGTTACTAACACAATATATATATACTCTTTTAAGTTTAATTTTTAAATTTAAGCTCTAGTACTAAGGTGTAACTTTAAGTAGGTTAACTTTAATAGTAATAGAATTAGTAATACTGTATACATATTAAACATTAACGAGACTTCAGGTAAGTTAGTTTTGTCTTAGCAGAAGGAATCGACATTACTATTAGGCCTAGTTTTCACTTCTTTTAGTTTTACAGTGTATCAACTATAGTTGTTAGTATACTTCCTACTATTTAAGTCAGAGATACAAACTAATGTTACTTATATTAATATCTAATAATAATGACACCAACTTTATAAGTTAACGTACAAAAACACATGCCAGGTGTTTTTAGAATTCAATTTACATTGGACATTTCTAAGATGAGGAGATTTAGGCACAACTACAGAATTATATTATGCAACAGTTACTGAAATGTGTATTAGTCTTTTTTCACCATATCAACTATTTTTAAACTTAAAGCTTATGCCTGAATACTCTGTGTTAAGCTGTATAAATCAGAAGACATTAGGTCATGCAATTCACTTAAACTAGTTTGCACCATAACAGTCACTCATAAAAATTGATATAAATAGTACTCTGCTACTATGTCTACTGTATTTCAGCAACCTGATGAGCTGTGGTATTGAGTATTAGACCATGTCAGCACTGGATTTGGTACATGTAGTGTGGTTGACATAATGTATTCTTCTTTTCTTTCATTCATTATTTTTTAAGAATTGAGATGATTTTTTACATCAGCACTAACCTAAATACTTATGATGTTTCCTGAACATTCAAATATTTGATCCATTACACCATGCCCTAGGCAACATTATACCCCAGGATATCCATTAAAGTATATGCTATGCCCCAGGGCATGTTGTAGCTTTTCTGGGGCACTCGGGTAATAGTAATTGCCACACTTGGGGCACCTAGGAATAATTCCTCAGTAATAAGAAGATAAAAATAATAGAAATGAACATAAACCACTGATGCCCAGGCCATGGTGTAACTGGTCATTTTATCCTCAATAGTTATAATACAGTATTCTAACTTCAAATTAAGTCCTAACCACTTAATATAAAATATTAACAACAAAGGGGCAGTTGGTTCTTCAAGGGTTTCCTATGTAAATATCTTTGAAAAAAAAGGTAAAGATTAAAACTCACTCTTTATTTTCCAGGAAATCATTAATTCCCCCTGTTAAACTTGTAAAATGCTGGCTTCATTTGATAACTTGATCACCCTGTTAGAAAAGTAAAACTGTCATAATTAGAGCCTAGCCTATCTTTTTTCCAAACCACAAACTTGTGTCCTCCCATCCTAATCTTCAGTACACAGCACAAACAAATCTGAAGCTTTTATCTTATCAATATCCTAGATAAAGCAGAGGGTTGTTAGCAAATTGGATGGAAGAAAGCAGAGAATTACTATAAATAGAGTTCAGTCAAACTGGATTAATGTCACAAGTGGGGTACCTCAGGGCTCAGTCTTAGGAACTTTGTTCTTTTTGATTTACATCAATGACATAGATGAAAGAATAGTCAATAAATTACTTAAATTTGCAGATGATATTAAGGTCTTGGGTGTTGCTAGCTATGAAGAGGATGCTGCTGATTTACAAAAGGATTTAAATCATTTAGTGAGTTGGGCAAAATAAATGTCAGATGGGTTTTAATTATAATAAATGCAAGATAATGCATGTGGGTTATCATAATTTGAATTATAAGTATAATTTGGATGGGAATAACCTTAATAGTGTTATGAAGGAAAGGGATCTTGGTGTAATAGTCAATCAGTCTCTAAAGCCATTCAAGCAATGTGCTAGTGGTAGGGCAAATAGGATTTTAGGTTGTATCTACAGAAATATTGAATACAAGTCTAAAGAGGTTATAATTTCATTGTACAGGTCACTGGTTAAGCCACATTTGGAATATTGTGTTCAGTCTTGGCCTCCTTACCTTAGGAAAGACATTGAATTGTTAGAAAGGGTTCAGAAAAAAGTTACTAGAATGGTGCCTGGGATGGAGGAGTTGTCATACGAGGAGAGGCTGAAATCTCTCAAATTGTTTTCCTTAGAAAAAAAGAGAGTTAGATCTGATTAAGGTGTTTAAGATTGTAAAGGGAATTGATAGTGTTGATGCATCATCTTTTTTCATGTTCAGCAGTGAGAATAGTAGGACTAGGGGACACATATATAGATTTTAGCAAGGTAGGAGTCATCTTCAGCTAAAACAGTCATTTTTCTAACAGGGTGGTTGACCTTTGGAATGAGTTACCTTCAGATGTTGTAGAGGCAGCAAATTTAAGTGAGTTTAAGAAAAAGCTTGATAAGTTTTTAAGATTTTTAAAAATTTATTTATTATTATTTTAATTTAGCTTAGAGGATGGAACAGCTGAGATGGACCAATAGGTCCCATGTTGTTCTAAAATGTTATGTTAAATTTGTAAAGTTTAATAAGGATACCTCTTAGCCTTCTTTTGTCAAGACAAAAAAAGTTGGAAATCATAACCTATCCTTATAGGATAACTCTTCCATCCAGAGGATCATCCTAGTAGCACTCTTCTGAACAATATCCTTTCTTAGTTAAAGAGCTCTAAAACTATTCACAGTATTCCAAATAATGCCTAAATAGTGATTTGTATAGAGAAATAAATACCTCTTTTAACTTTTAATCACTGGGTCTAAAAATATTTATTAATCTTATTAGCTTTACTATGAGCAACAGAGCACTGCATTGATGGTTTCAATCATTTATTCAACATGCTGAGATCTTTTTCTTTAGACACGGTATTGAGTTCCTTATACCTTACCCTGGACTACTGTAAGTAAAGGCCATTTACCAAATATTTATCTTAATTTACCAATTGATCCAAGTCATTCATTCTATAATACCTCAACAAGTTAGAAATAAGGATGTCTGCAGAAATTTTCCAGGTGGGGAGGGGGGCAAAGTAGTTTGAAATTGTGAAGTAAATAAAAAAATTCCTATATACATATGTTGAATGAATAAAGAAAGAATTATGGTTCTCGTTTTCTGGGAGTCAAGATCTACAAAACAAGTAGAACATCTCAAAGAATTATGGTTCTCGTTTTCTGGGAGTCGAAGATCTACAAAACAAGTAGAACATCTCAAAGAATTATGGTTCTCGTTTTCTGGGAGTCAAAGATCTACAAAACAAGTAGAACATCTCAAAGAATTATGGTTCTCGTTTTCTGGGAGTCAAAGATCTACAAAACAAGTAGAACATCTCAAAGAATTATGGTGC